TTTGTATTTTACCCGCCTGGCTGGGAGTGTTTGGGGGGGGGGGATTTGACCTTTTACTTATTTAGACGTTTACTGCTATAAATTTCATCCAAGTGCAATCTCAGGGATAAACATTTTGACATTCATTATAGAAATATTTTCAGAAAATTAGAGAAACTTTAGATTCTGTGATTAGGTAGTTTCTTGGCATTCTTGCATATTCATTGTCACGATGTTTAGGTGAGAGGTTGTTATATTACTAGTGTATTAGAAAGAACACTGGACTGAAAGTTAGGAAATAAGAGGTCAAGTCTTCCTCTGTCACTTCCTAACTTTGTGACATGACAAGGCACAATTTTTCTGGGCTTACTTTCTTCAGCAAATTGGGTGCAGGTAGAGTTGGACTGATAACATGCTAATGTTACATTAAGCTTTGGAAAACCTGTGGTTTCATGATAATGACACCAAAATAAAGCCAGTAAGAGTAATTATGAAAACCAAATTTAATTTTAACTTATTTTTCTAATTATTCCATTATTTTCTGAACTTTCGTTTTCTTCATCTATGTGGGCCTCACAAGATTCTTGCATGACTAAAGGACATAGTATACTTGAAAGCTCTTTGTCAGCAAACTATTCAAATGTTATTTTTAATTTGGGGCAAAAAAGTTGGGTAGAGTTGATTCAAAATTAGATGAATACATCAGATACTCCTTTGAAGTTTCAGGATTTGATTCTGCAGAATCAGAATTAGTTGATTATTTTATCTACTGTTAATAGCATATTAAAATCTGTACTACCAGATAAAGCCTTAGGCCCAAATTTCTCCTCATTCCAAAGTAAAGAATTGAAGCTATCATAAAAATGGGAAATCAAAGAGAACAGACAACCAAACTAACACTGACAATGGCCTAGGGAAGTTTAGGACATTAAATCATAAATGCTGAAGAAAAAAAAATTTTTTTTTTTTTTTTGGAGAGGTTATTGCTATAGGGTGCATGCACTTGCCAGGAAGACAAGAGACAAACAAGAAGACAGAAAGTGAAAAATCACCCACCCCCCCACCCCACCCCCAGTCCAGCAACATAGCTGTTATGCCAACTGCTGGTCCCAGAAAAAAAATTTCTTTAAACCTCTACTGTTGTTTCAGTAGCATTTAATGAATAAATTTATTCTTTTTTGCTTAATTTATGATAGTACAGCACATTCATGAGAGAGAAAATGATAGAGAGAGAGAAACATGGGCACCCTCCACAGTTTTGTCACACTGTGATCCCCTCCCTCATCCCTCCAGCTTGCCAAGATCTTGGGCATTTGCCCATATCTGGTATGTTTCAGGTCAGCTGTGCTGGGTATCCCAACATGTGAGAGACCATGTAGCTTGCAGTACTGCAGTTCAAAATGCTACTGACTATACTACAGAAGTCATGCCTAGGGTTATTCTTAGAGTTAGTCAACTGTTAATCAAAATTGTTTCAAGACATAAAATTATTCCAGAATAGATTAGTGTCTCCAAAACTTTTGTTTTTTCCCAAAGATTTTTGCTATGGGGCATGAGCACTAGCTGGAGAAACAGAGAAAGACAGGAAGCAAGAAAATGAGAAATCATCCCTGGGTAGGATGGCTACACTGCCACCCCTTCCCCTCCATTCTTCTCTCGGGATCTTGGACACGCATGCACATGCTGGGCAGGAGTTTCAAGTCACCGGCCCAATACTTGAACCTTACTTAGTTCACCACCTGGACATTCAGAGCCTTTACCACTGCCATACCTGCTGGTTCCTTTAATTTAGCTTTGAGTAGAATAAGAATTAAATGTGAGAATATTTTTGTAAGTATAATGTACATATAATTACAGTAATTAAAATGATTTGAAAGACTAATACAATCTTTTGAAAGACTAATTGAGAAAAGATACAACATATTCATAATGTGTTTAAAATATTATGTTTACATACAAATATTTACACACACACACACAGAGAAAAAGACTGGAAGGAAACAAGTATCCTAATTTTTTTGTTTTGCTCTGGTTTCCCTAAATAGTTGATTAAAAGTGATTTGAGTTTTCTTTAAACAGTCTGTGTTTTTCACTTCTCCTAAATCGAAGATATATCACTTTCATACCCAGAAATAAACTTTTGAAAGCATAAATCTCCATACAGATCTGTAGTCATTAATACCCTTTGTGATATTTTAGGTTTCTGAGATAAATTGTCCCACAGTACCGTTACTAAAATGGCCTTAGAAAAGGACTACTAAAAATTTATGACCACTTTTCCTGTATCTTCTTTTTCTCTCGAAAAGCTTCCTTTGAAGTCAAAGGGATTTTGTGAACAGATGCAGGAATATGTGAAGGAAGAATTGGATTCTTAAACCAGATGCATTAGACATTTTTATGATTTTCTCATAACCTTTAGAGAAAATAAAAATTATTTTGTAAGAAGATAGTACAATAGAAACATATATGTGAGATCTTCAAGAAGTTCATGGGAAATATATATCATGAAAAAACTTCACAGATTTACATTACTTTTCACCAAAATAAACTTATACTTTATTTTTTCCATTAACTTTTTAAAGTCCCCTTGTTGTTACCATTTGGTGATCCTATCAAAAAGCAAGACATAATCAAGTTATTAGTAGTTTGGCTCTGCATTTATTCCTTGAGGTGAGAAGCAAAAGTAGATGCGCTTCTAATATGCTTTGTTAGAAACTAAGTTAATTTTTTTTTCTGGTTTGTTTAGACAAAATTTAGAGTAAAAACCTTGGCATTGAAGATCTTTAATTATCTCAAATGTAGGCTTTTGCCCCTGAAGGTTAGTTGTAAACTCAAGGTCAAAATTAAAAGTAGAGGGGCCAGCCAGCAGGTGGCATAATGGTTAAGGTACTGGGCTCCCACAGGGCCACTGTGGTTCAAGTTCTGGACCCAGTGGCTTGAAACTCACTCTGGGCTCATGTGCATGCATGCCCAAAATCCTGAGAGGAGGAGAAGGGATTAAGGTATGGCCATTCTTCTCTAGAGGGTGATTTTTCACTTTCTGTCTTTCTGTCTCTCCAGCAAGTACACATACACTACAACAAAAATCTCTTGGAAAAAAATAATAGTAGGCAGAAAGCAAGAATAACAGGATATCACACTGTACTCACTATGGGATGTCTAAATTTTTTATGAAAAGAGTTTATTTTTCCAGGTGTTGCCTGACAGAAAACTGTTGAAATCTGACAAGATGAGAAGTCATAGAGTCAGAGGAATGAAGATCTGACATGTTATGTTTAAATGTTGATGGTATTAGGTAAATTTAAGCCTGTCATCATTTTCCAGATACGGAATTCATACTTCTTTAAGCACTAACTCATGATTGCATTGTGCAAAGAGTGAAATATTGATGGTTACTAGATTTTTGCAAGTATATTATCATTTTGTTGAAGTTGAAATGTCCATACGTTATTGCACCTGAACAGCATACTTCATTATTAGTGCCCATGGCCTTGGTTTGGCTAGCATTATTGTTCTGTTTCTGCTAGTCACAACTCCTAAGTATGGCTATTAGATGAAGAAATCATGCCTGCCAAAAAAAGAAAAAAGACACTATATTTAATTTTTGGTTTTATATTTAGGTATCACAAGACTTAAAAGACTTCTTAAAGATTAAAGATAATTTTGGATTTGAAACAAAGTTGCAAAATTAATACGGAAAATTTCTGCATACTTTTATTCAGGCTTTGTCTTTTTATTTTTAATTTTGGAGAGGTTTTTGCTATAGGGTGTGTGCGCTAGCTAGAAAGACAGAGACAGGGAGACAGAAAGCAAGAAATCACCCCCCCCCCAAAGGGGAGATGGCCATGCCGCAATCCCTTCTCCATTCTCCTCTCGGGATCTTGGGCACGCACACACACACGCCCGGTGTGAGTTTAAGCCACTGGGTCCGAGACTCAAACTGCAGTCGACTACATGGGAGTTAAGTGACATAGCCATTAAGCTAACTGCTGGTCCCTCAGGCTTTGTCTTGAATAATCATAATTTTGATCATCAAAATCAAGAG